ATATATATATATACCGTATGCACGGTATTATATACGTACAGTATTATATAGTCTTGGAGGACCTCTAGTGGCAGAAAACAGAACTACAATGAAGACTAACCACTAAGCAATAAGGCTGAAAACAGACAAATAAGTCTTTTGTACATTCCATATCATATCTATTACATTTAAACTCAACCTAACCAGTATGTACTTGTAATTTCATTTTTATTTTTCATTTCGGTTAAACACTGAATAAAAAATTGTTTTTTTCCTTTCTCAAACGGGTCATTTGAGTTGTTGGTTCCAGAAGCACCCCTAAGGGGAGACCAGGGGAGGCAATGGCTACATTTTTAATAAATAAGTGCCACGAGGAAGGTCAGAAATTAAAATCTCTTTTAAAATGACTGTTAATGTGTTAATGGGCATATTTCTGCCATAACAATTGTAAGAGATGAACTGGTAATTGCTGCAATAAGTGGACACAAATGCCATAATAACTGTTAAAGCTTTTTGTTTTTATCCTGCCGTTGTTTAATTAGCAATGTGTGCATCCCTCTGACAGTAATTGTTGGTGTCACAGCACTGCAATAGCCACTTAGTGCTGATAAAAACCTTTAAACTTTAAGTAATGCATTAAAAAAAACATCAATTAGAAGAATTAAATGAACCAAAGCTGAGGGGTAACATAACTGCTATATTTTGAGAAACTTTGTTGTTTATTATATAATATACATAATTATACGTATTATTATATAATAAAGAAAATGAAAACCAATCAACACGAGTCTTCAACATTTTTATTTTGTTTGACCAGGTCCATCTGTAAAGCCTGGCATTAAAAATAAGTAACATGTTCTTTTACTCAATACTATAAAACATTTATTAAATGGAATGTTTGTTCTTCACTGTACTGAACAATAAAACACTGAGTACAGGTGGTCTTAGTTACTGTCACCATAACAACAGTGAGACTGTAATAAGCCTGACGTACACTACCACAATATAATTATTATACTTTGGTCCACAGGAGTGCACAGTTTATCCTACAAACAGAGGATACACAAAATACRAAAGGCTGACTTGTTCTTAGTGGAAATCTAATCACAAAATGAAATCTCCTACAGCAGGCAGCAGACTCTCGCCTTGGCTTTATTACTGCTTGGAGAAGAAATCTTTGCTCTTCTGGACGTCAGGCTTGATGGTGTCACTTCCTGGTTTCCAGCCGGCTGGGCAGACTGAAACGATAAGCCTGTAATGAGTACTGGCTGGTAGATGACACGATAAGAATATGACACGTGTGTGTGGTTTAAACCTCGCACCGCTCAGAACATTAACCAACACATGTTAAATAAAAGAGGTTTGAGATTCTGGCACAAAACCATCGTCCACAGTCATCTCCTACCACTAATCCAGGGTCGGGTCATGAGGACAGGGAGGTCTGGGCTTCTCTCTTGGAAGTTATCCCTCTAGAACGTTCTGGATCTGTCCAGGTCTCTTCTCAGTAAAACAAGCCCCAAAAAATCTTTTAAGAGAAGCAACCAGGAGGCGTCCTGATCAGATGAACCACCTCAACTGACTCCTTTTGATACAGGAGTACCAGCTATCCTGCGAGCTCCTCAGCCTATCTCTAAAGACTGACCACACTATGAAGGAAGCTCAGTTTGGCCGCTTGTATCCAGGATCTCGTTCTTTCAGTTGTGATTCAAAACCCACGACCATAGCTGAGGGCTGGAACTAGAGCTGCAYGGTAATATCGTTTGAGTAATCTAATAAAGTTCATTGTGTCTATAAAATCAATCTTAATACGTTTTCCTAATTACTAGACACTTTTTTATTTTTATGTCTATACCTGACATGTTCGACGTGTACTTCCGTCTTCATCAGAGGTGTCACAGCTGATGTTGATAGGAGGCGGTGTCGGCTATCTATATTGACAAGCCGACACCGCCTCCTGATGGCTTCATTGTTGGAGGATGTCACTCCAGGTACCGTGAGTAAAATAAGTATTGAACACGTCACCAGTTTTCTCAGTAAATATATTACTAGAGGTGCTAATGACATGAAATTTTCACCAGATGTTGGTAACAACCCAAGTGATCCATACATGCAAAGAAGTCAAAGCATAAATGTCCAGAAATGAAGTTATTTGTAATAATGTGGAATGACACAGGGAAAAAGTATTGAACACGCTTACTGAAATTTATCTAATACTTTGTACAAAAGCCTTTGTTGTCAATGACAGCTTCAGGACGCCTCCTGTATGGAGAAACTAGTGGCATGCATTGCTCAGGTGTGATTTTGGCCCATTCTTCCACACAAACAGTCTTCAAATCTTGAAGGTTTCGTGGACCTCTTCTATGAACTCTGATCTTTAGTTCTTTCCATAGATTTTCTGTTGGATTCAGGTCAGGTGATTGGCTGGACCATTCCAGCAGCTTTAGTTTCTTTCTCTGAAACCAACTGAGAGTTTCCTTGGCTTTGTGTTTGGGCTCATTGTCTTGCTGAAATGTCCAGCCACGTTTCATCTTCATCATCCTGGTAGATGGAAGCAGATTTTTATCAAGAATGTCTCTGTACATTTTTCCACTCATCCTTCCTTCAATTATTTGAAGTTTGCCAGTACCATATGCTGAAAAACAGCCCCACACCATGATGTTCCCACCTCCAAACTTCACTGTTGGTATGGTGTTTTTGGGCTGATGTGCAGTGCCATTTGACCTCCAAACATGATGTGTATTCTGGCATCCAAACAGTTCAATGTTGGTCTCATCTGACCAGACTATATTCTCCCAGTATTACACAGGCTTGTTTAAATGTTGTACAGCAAACTTTAAAGGAGCTTCAACATGTTGTTTCTTCAGCAGTGGAGTCTTGCGTGGTGAGCGTGCATACAGGCCATGGTGGTTCAGTGCATTACTTATTGTTTTCTTTGAAACAAACGTACCTGCTAATTCCAGGTCTTTCTGAAGCTCTCCACAAGTGGTCCTTGGCTCTTGGACAACTCTTCTGATAATTCTTTTCACTCCTCTGTCAGAAATCTTGTGAGGAGCACCTGGTCGTGGTCGGTTTATGGTGAAATAATGTTCTTTCCACTTCTGAATTATGGYCCCAACAGTGCTCACTGGAACCTTCAGAAGTTTAGACATTCTTCTGTAACCGATGCCATCATTATGCTTTGCAACAATAAGGTTGTGAAGGTCTTGAGAGAGCTCTTTACTTTTACCCATCATCAGATGGTTCTTGTGTGATACCTGGCCATCATTTGGGACTGRACCAGCTGATATTAACTTGCACTGACAAGGGGCAGGCTTGTTTTCTAATTACTGAGAGAGTTCAGCTGGTGTCTTGGCTTTCCATGCCTTTTTACACCTCCCTTTCTTCATGTGTTCAATACTTTTTCCCTGTGCCATTCCACATTATTACAAATAACTTCATTTCTGGACATTTATGGTTTGAYTTCTTTGTATGTATGGATCACTTGGGTTGTTACCAACATCTGGTGAAAATTTCATGTCAKTAGCACCTCTAGTAATATATTTACTGAGAAAAATGGTGACGTGTTCAATACTTATTTTACCCGCTGTATGCGAGTGCTTGTAGGCCCCCTCATCCCGGTCCATAGCTGTGTGGGCTTGCTTTTTAATCTCCATCGCCTCCATGATCCAACGCTGATATTTGTTGTCAATATACATTGATGAGCCGGCAGCGCCTCCTATCAACATCAGCTGTGACACCTCTGATGAAGACGGAAGTACTTGTCTAAACATGTCAGGTATGTCTGTATAGACGTAAAAATAAAAAAGTGTCTAGTAATTAGGAAAACGTATTAATATCATTTGAGGCAAATTAAATCAATGTGTTATCWAGGGATTAAACTTTAATTTTGATGAGAAACTTCTGGGACAATTATAGAAATGTTTTTTTGAAGTGTCTGAATTCTCAAGCTGTGAAAAAAGGTGATGAGGATCTTGAGGTAAACAGGGAGGAGTAAATTCACAGAGACCAGAAGGAAGAGGGGTAAAATATGGTCAATATGAATGCTAACATTAGCTATGTTTACACGCACAAAATTTTTTGATCGGATTGAAATGTATTCGGATTAAATAATCCGAATGTACTGTTTACATGGACACAATCTGATCATGAAAAGTGTTTACATGCACCGAGTTCGGACATGCGCAGTGTTGTAAACTGTCAGCTCTACTTCCATGTTACAAACGTAAACAAAGCTCTTCTGTGCGCTCAGGACGGACCTGTGTCAGCTTTTAATAAAAGGTAGAGATGTCGTTACTCCTCGGTTGTGCTGCAGATGAAGCAATACGTGTTTTTATTTATTTATTATATTTTATTTCTGTGAAGCAACGTCTGCTGTTTGTCTTCTTTTCTATCTGTTAAGAGAGCGAGGAGGAAAAGTTCTGCGCGGTGCAGCGCAGCTGGAAACTACAGCGCTACTGCCCCGCCTCTCTGAAGAGCAGAATCGGGTGAATGAAAGTCAGCAGACCTGCACACTCAGGTCAGTTTTCTACAATCAGAATAAAATGATCCGATTAAGTGTTTACATGCACGGCATTCCGATTTTCAATCGGCATAACCCACCTCTCTCATTCGGATTACAAATTCATTCGAATCAAACTCAATCGGGTCAGAATAATCTGAACGAGCTGACACATTTTTAAAYCAAACGGCTGTTTAATCCGATTACTTATGTCCATGTAAACGTAGCTAGTAAAACGTGACGGAAACAGAAACCCTGGCTACGTTCACACTGCAGGCAAAAGCAACCCATATCTGATTTTTTTTTATGAGAGTCTAAACGCGACAAACCCRAATTTTCAAACGCGACCCAGGATGTTTCAGTATGTGGTTTTAAATCTGATACATATCTGATGTTTTCAAAGCGATGGCAGTGTGAACGCTCATGTCACATTCCATCTTTTCCATCAGTGGAGCAGGTGAAGGACTGATAAGACACTAACTAAACTCAAGTCACGCTGTTTCTATAGCTCCATGTGTTTACAGCTCCAAAACACAAGTCCAGTTGCTTCATCTTTTTACTTTTAATTTTCCATGTAGATAGTTAAATCCAGCCTGGGTCGCAGAGCGTATCGATCCTAAAGTTACTCAGTCGATACTTTATTTCCAGCTCGTTGCTTCATTCAAAAATAAAAAGCTTCACTGGARCATCCCTGTCAGAGGCAGGTTCAGATATAAACACTGAACTAAACAAGCAGGTCAGATAATTAGTTAATCGGCTCTGATTAAACAACAACTTCAGATTCGACGTGCTAAAAATAGCATCCATGCTAACTCTGTAAACAAACAGCCGGCTGAATGAGACGTCTTTTACTGTGCATGCATGTCACATCAGTGCTGTGGAGCGTTCACACTGGAGTCTGATGCAGGTCACATTTAAAATGTAATGTGAACGTTCACACCAAAAGATGGGATTATTTAAAAAAAAATCAGAATTTAACATTAATTTCAGCTTCAAAATCGCATCCAACACTTCAAGTTGGACGCTTGTGCACTTTGAGGGACAAGGGGGGGGGTCAGATATGTGCAGGTTCATAGACGGCAGCAGAATTTATCTTGTTATATTTACTGTTCAAAATTCCTGTTTTTTTCCCATATTGCAATGTATATCACCAAGTTAGAAAAAAATTACACCCGTTTTTCCAATATCTTGCAGCGCTAATGGGTAAATTCTTTTTGATTAAACTTCACCACAACTGACCAAAGCAACACCCTCATTACTGAGGACGAGGCCCCAATCCATTGATCCATCTCCCGCTCCATCCTACCATCACTCAGGAACAAGATGCCCAGAWACTTAAACTAAAATGCAGATAGTCATCAATTATCTCTGTTTATTCTAAACTAAGCAACATCATTTTTAATATATTACGTTTGGAATACTTGGGTGATGAATTTGAAAAGACAGCAGAACTGACCTTCTCCATGTTTGTCAGTGAACTGAAAAGCTTGAACCAAACGCAGGGTCTCATCAACTGAGCGTCCCACTGGGAGGTCATTGATGGTGATCTGTCTCAGCACGCCCTTACCGTCGATGATGAACAGACCCCTGATAAAGAGAAGAGAAAAAGACAATAAAAACTAGACATGGGTTTTTATGATGTAAAAACAAGTGTGCATTGCCATGTAGCATGGCTTTGCAGCATGGCTTTGCCTGCAGCAATGGACTTGCAGAATTAACTTTGACCAAGTTCAAATGTGTTTTTGATACCAGCTTATGCCTGTCACGTCAGCAAGTGTTTGTAATTAAGGTAATTGAGTGACAATATGAAATGTGAAGAGATTTTTTGTTAAAGTTGCATCAGCTGGGTTTTGAACCCTGATCTCCCACATGAAAGTCCATGACACAGACCGTTAGACCAATGGAGCTGTGGTAGAAAATGGTGGCAGGGGTTGGTTTGTATGTGTGCAGAAAGAGGCCACATTGCCAATACAATTATTAACACAAAAATGCATAATATTACAACAACAGAGCAGTATTAAGACAATATTATAGTAAAACATCAAAATACAATCATTAGTACTGTAAACACTGAACTACTGAGTTGAAATATTAAACTATGGTGCAGTACCAAATTGAGTACAGCATGGGGCAGTATTGGACCTATACAAGGCTCTATTGACTGCCATTATAATTCATTAAACATTAATATTTCATAAACTATAAGTTTTACAGGCACCAAAAGGCATAGCCATCATTTGGCACAGGGGCTTTACAGATATAAATTACAAWGGCAGCTCTAGGACAAAGTATGCAGGAGGAGAAGCGTGGCAAAGTTGAGATGACTTGGATGGGAAACGAATCACAATAGTGTGCATTGCCAATGCAATGCACACTGATGATAAAAATGCAGCAGGAGTTTTCATGATGCACATCAGGCTCTAYGGCCTTACAGAGCCCACCTGTAGGCGATGCCTTCGTCCTCCTTCAGCACGCCGTAGTCTGTGGAGATGGTGCGCCGTATGTCGGACACAAGAGGGATCTTCATGGAACCCAGGCCGCCCTGTTTACGTGGCGTGTTGGTCCTTTAAGAACACACGAAAACAGTCAAACACGCAGTGAACGAAAACAATCGTGGCGGACGTTCACAACGAGACACGTCCTGCTGGGTACCAGGCAAAGTGGGAGAAGTGGGAGTCTACAGAAGCAGCGATGACTTCACAGTCAATTTTCCTGAATTCGTCAGCCGCATCGCTGAAGGCGATGATCTCAGTCGGACACACGAAGGTGAAGTCCAGCGGGTAGAAGAAAAACACAACATACTTCCCTGAATCAAAGCAGAAAAACATGTAAAGGAAAACATAAAATAAATTCATAAAACGTTCTGAACAGAAGAAGACGTGGCGTACCTCTGTAATCCGACAGCTTCAGGTCTTTAAAGTCTCCATCTGGCATCATGGCTTTTGCTGTGAAGTCTGGAGCCAGATGTCCGATTTTAGCTTTGCCTGCAGCCATCTTCAGTCAGAATGGGTTAAACTGGAAGGAGACACCGGCTACGTTACAATTGGAGTTGATTTATTCATTTTTGCGGGAAAGAAAATTAGATCCCATAGAAACCATTGATCTGTTCGTTTAACCCCCTGCAGCCACCAACACGATTAAACAGTAAAATACATGCATGCTGTTTTTATAAAAG